GATCAGAAGTGGAACAGCCAGGACTCGAACCAGTGCCCATATAGGTGCTGTAAGCTGTGGCTTTACCCACTACTCCACAGCGCTGGCCCCTACTTTTTAAAAATTTATTTGTTTATGTGAAAGAGTTACAGAGAGAAGGAGAGACACAGAGAGAGAGAGAGATCTTCCATCCAGTGGTTCACTTCCCAGAAGCAATGGCCAGCGCTGGGCAAGGCAGAAGCCAGGAACTAAATCCGGGTATCCCAAATGGGTGGCAGTGCCCCAAGCACTTGGGCCATCCTCCACTGCTTTTCCCAAGCCATTATCAGGGAGCTGAAACTAAGTTTCAGGAGCAGCTGGGACACAAACTGGTACCCAAATGGGATGCCAGTATCGCAGGCAGAAGCTTTACCCACTACGCCACAATGTCAGCCCCAGAAAAAGCTAATTTTTTTAGCAAAGTCTAATGACCTGCACCTTGAAAAAAAAAGATTTATTAATATTTATTATTTATTTGAAGGCAGAGTTATTATGGGGGACAGAGGGGAGCTCTTCCTTCTTCTGGTGCATTCCCCAAAGGGCTGCAATGGCCTGGACTGGGCCAGGCCAAAGCCAAGAGCCAGGAAATCCATCTGGGCCACCATCATGGGTGGCAGGGGTCCAAGTACTTGGGTCATCTGCTGCTGCTTTCCCAGGTACATTAGCAGAGAGCTGGATCAGAAGTAGAGCAGCAGGGACTCGAACTGGAGCCCAGATGTGATGCCAGTGGCACAGGCGACAGCTTTACCCACTGTGCCACAACACAGGCCTGCTTAAACCCTTATGTGTTAAAGCCCCTCACATTAGATCACCACAACACTGTCATCCCTGTTTAAAGGTAAACATGAAATGACTTCCAAACATCACATTACCAGCAGTAAAAATAGATCTCCTGAGAAAATTTCCTTTGCACTAATATGCAACCTCCCACCATGATTAAACTCAGTACCCAAAAGAGAAAGGTATTTTTACACAACACAATGAAAGAACCACTCCACAGCACAACACATGAATGCAAGAGATATATAAATGAAAACAAAACAATTAAGCTCAGTATTCAAAACAATAATTTTCTGAGGCTGGTGTTGTCTTGCAACCAATTCAGCTTTCTGCTAATACGCCTGGGAAAGGAAGTTGCCCCAGTCCTTAGGTTCTGCCACCCACGTGGGCAACCCTGATGGAACTCCAAGGCTTCTGGCTTTGGTCTGGCCCAGCCCTGTTACAGACATCTGGGGAGTGAATCAGTGGATGGAGGATCTCTCCCTGTCTTTCCCTCTCTCTGTCACTTTGCCTTTTGAAAGAAAACAAATCGTTAAAAATAAATAATTTTCAGTCTTCTATATAAGAAATGTTCTCAAGCACACAAAACACTACCACAGAAGAAAAGCTTCTATGAAGAAAGTACTGCATTTTCTCATCCCTAGAGCCTTACCTTAGAGAGGCTAGCTACCTGCTAGCAGATCTTAACCATCTGAGGCACCATCTAAACACAGAAATTAGAAATACCCACCATTAAAATCTAGACACTTTTCACAAGAGGGTCCTTCTCAAAGATACTCTTACTTTAGAACAGAGGTTCTCAACCATACTAGACTCAATGTGCCTTTTCCATAAAATGTTTCCCAATTTCCACTTTAGCACCCTGATATGAAATCCACAACAATCATCCTACAAAAAATTTCAAGTGTATGCACATATACTAAATAAAATATAAATGGAAAAGGGAAATGTGAATACTGGTCAAGACATAGATGTTTAAAGGGGCTGGTACTGTGGCACAACAGGTTAAGCCACAGCCTGCGATGCCAGCATCCCATACACACATCAATCAGTTCAAGTCCCAGCTACTCCACTTCAGATCCAGCTCCCTGCTAATGTGCCTAGAAAAGCAGCAGAAGATAGCCCAAGTGCTTGGGCCCCACACCCATGTAGGAGACGCAGACAAAGCTCCTGATTCATGGTCAATGACCCTGGTCATTGCAGCCATGTGGGGAATGAACCAGTGGATGGAAGGTATCTTTGTCTCTCCTCTCTCTGTGTAACTCTGACTTTCAAATAATAAAATCTTTAAAAAATTTAAAAAAAATGTAAAGAAGTAATTAGGTGAACACACTAACAACAAATGCACAGCGGTGTGTGATGCAATCTTCCAAAAACTGTAAACAACTCCTGGCCAAGTGGTGAACAAAATCACCCTTTCAATTTACACAACAGCTGAACGTGGAAATAGGCATTGGAAAATTCAGCCTCAGAAAAAAACTGTGACTTTACATATATGTAAAATGGAAATTCCAGGCTCAGATGATTACAAATACTACATGAATACCAGGCGGGGTATTCCCAGGTCATACAGGACACAATACTTCACTCAGGACTGTCCCACATAAAGCACAAGGTACTTGTCGCCACCCATCAAATACTAACAGTCTCAATCATTTAAAAAAACCAAAGAAATGCTTCCCAGTTTGTCCCTAAAGGACAACCCCCATCAGGGCCCCCTGCCGACACAATCTCCCTGTGTACCACAGCACAATATAAAGAAACTTGGAAAGCCCGGATCACAGTTCCAGTTTTGTCCCTGTGAGCTATAGGATCACTGGTTAGTGAGTAATAGCTCTAAACCTCAGTTTCCATGGTATCAAATGGGAATAAACACTACCTGAATTTGAGTAGCCAAGATGACTCAACAACATGTGTGTAGCACACCACAAGGGATTTGCAACCCATGTCCCACTGAGTTCTAAAGAAGGAAACGATTTCAATTAAACAGAATGAAAACAGTAAAAGGTAACATTAATGTAGAAGAGGCAGAAAACATATAATAGGCATATAAAGTGAAATAACACATAGCATCTCAGTCCAGGGACATTTAACAAAGCAGATAGCAACCACTGAAGGTATTCATGCATTGTCATTTAGTGAAATAATATTTATAATGATGACCCCAAAGTTAGAAGGACATACATTTTTAAGAGATTTCTAATGCTCATGGCAGAAATTTTTAAAACTTTTGATACGTAAGAGAGTGACTGTATTTAACAAACATTATTTCAACTTTCACTGGGCATTTACCCTATTCTAGGTTAGAGACTAGGATAATACAAAAATCTGCAATACACCATACCTGCCCTCACTTTATCATCCAATAAGTTAGACATTGAGTAAAAGCAGAATGACAGAGTTACTAAGTGGAAATTTAAGTAATAAATTACAGGGGCCCAGAGGAAAGCATGAATCATCACCACTGAGCAAATTCAAGGACATCTTCATGGCATTGGACATTGAAAAATGTGGATGGACTCTAACCTAAAATGATAAAGAATGGGGAGCAAAACATTACAGGAAAATTTAAGTCAGGGCAAAGGCACTGGACATGAAAATATAGCTTCAGAGAAGAGAGGTACAAAATGGGTGCACTAGGGATTGGGGACAAGAGCAATAAAAAATAAGAATGTGAAGAATATTTCAGAGCCTGCTCATGAAGGGATCTGAATGACATTTAAACATGTTGGAGTTTTATAAGGCAAGAGAATCCTCCAGAACACTGGTTTAGAGGACACACCTGATCCCCTAACACTGCTGAACAATGACCAAAAATAAAATTCAGAACAAACACAAGTTATCAGTGAGATTCCTGAGATAAAAATATTCTTTACACAATAAATAAGCAAAAAGAACCTAACCCAAGAGCAAAAAGCAGCTTCTAAACGCATTTCTTTAATCAAAATTTTACTAAATTTATTGACTCTGGGAACTGAAAAGAACTCAGAATAACCTAGGAGTCTGTGTCCCTTGATTTTCTTCCAAGCAAATCAGAGCACTTCCTGAACATGTTATTTAGCAATGCCTCCCCACACCCCGAAAGGCAAGCAGCAGCCAACAGTATTATTAGTCTCTTTTTACTATGGAGAAACTGAGGAACAAAAAGAATAAATTACAGTATGGTCACAAAGTAAACCATCATATTTTCTAGGACTTTAATTAAAGATAAAATTAAAGGCTCCAAGCCTACATTTTACCCTTTATTCTTCACACCATCTGAATACCAGAATTACCTTTAATTACCTTTTAATCAGAAAAAAAAAAAAAAGAGCTAAACTTCGGGATCAGGTTTCTTAATTTGGTCCTGTAGCCAAAATTAAAATTCTGCTCCTAAGACGACATTTACAGGAACTACAAGGTGTAAAGCGGCAACGCAACCTCCCCAAAAATACAGTTGTAAGCATCAGTAAAAGTCAGGAATACCTGGCCCAGCTTTTTTACCTTGAATTATCTGGCTCAAGGAATACTGGAGATTTGCGTCAGAAAAACAAGCTGTGCAGATGCTCTGATGGAAAGGTGGCCCCAGACGCCCCGACACGCTAACTGCAAACACGAAATCCAACACTCTCTTCCTCCATCCATCCCTGCATTGCACCATGCACGGGGAGGCTCGAGGTATACCCGAGGCCTGTGCAAGTAGGCCCTGCAAACGTTTCCCTGAAAAATGCCGTACTGTGAAGATGCCCTCGGTACTGGGCCTTCGTAAACAGCGCAGGGACCGGATGTGGGCGAGCACGCCTCAAACTCTCGGCTCTCCAGAATCCAGGGCCTGGTCTGGAGGTTTCTATCCCACACAGAGTTTCTGCAGTTTTATCTTTCACACGCGCAATGACGACCCCGACCCCCGAGTCCCCTTCCCCAGCCTCCAACACCCCCACACACTCTCTCTTCACGCCAGGTGGGCGTCTCGAAGGAGGCCGGCAAGGGAGGCCGGAGCGCAGGGGTGTGGGTCGCGGCCGCGTGGCGCCGACCGGGGTCCCCGCCGGTCCAGCCCCCGGAGCCCGGCCGCCTGCCCCCGGCCGGGACCAACGCGCCGCCGCCGCCACCGCCTATCAGCGGAGCGCAGGGGCGGGGCCGGTCGGCTCCGCCGCGGCTCGGACGGCGGGCGGGGACGGGCGGGGGACCCACCGCCGCGCAGCTCGGGCCGCCGCGCGCAGACACCGGGCCCGGCTCCCGAGGGCGCCAGCGCGGCCCCGGGGAGCGCGAGGAGCCGGCGAGCGCGCGGCCTGCCGTTGGCGGCCTGGTCAGCCGCGCTCAGTGCCCACCCGCCCCGGAGGTGGGGCCCAAGCCCCCCAGGAAGATGGTGTCCTGGATGATCTCCAGAGCCGTGGTGTAAGTGCCGCTCACGACGCCCCGCTGCCCGCGCTGAGGCCCGGAGGAGCTGTGGAGCGGGGCAGGGGCCCGGAGAAAAGGAAGGCCCGGGCCTGGGCGGGGGTGGGGTGGCCCGGCCTTGGGCCCACACCCGGGAGCTGGGGGCCCTCGGCTTCCTCACCCTGGTCCACGTCGCTGCGGGGCTCCGTGCGGCGGACGAGGGTCCAGTGGTGGCGGCTGCGGCTGCGGCACGGCGCGGTGCGGCGCGGCCCTGCTCGGCTGCGTGCGACTCGGCGCCCCTGCTCCGGCGGCGCTGGGTGGGCAGGCGCACAGGGCAGGCGGCGCGCGCCCCCTGCTCCCGTTCCCCGCGCTGCGCGGCACCGCCCTGTGGGCCCGGGAGTGGCGCGCCTCGTGGCGGCGACCTGCGCAAACTCCGCTGACGCCGAGCGCGGGAGGCTCGGCGATCCTCCCGGGGATGCGGCGGCGGCGGCGCCGAAGCCTTTGTATCCCGCGGCTGATGCGTTGCGGTGTCTCTCGCGGCGGCTGATTGCCATTGGGTCACGTGTGGTAGGAGGAGAGATTTGTCTGAAAACCTGAGACCGCTCCCAGCTCGGGATCCTTTGGAAGGGTCCCAGTTGTTGCCAGGTTTACAGCTTACCGAGAAAGGCGGCTGCTATTAAAAAGGTGACGCCCGCCTGCTCGCCCACATCCCCAAATTGGCCCCGTCTTGGCGGAAATATTTGCTCAGGGATTGAGAGACGACAGGTGCCTGTTGCCTTTGTTCAGATTATCGCTTCATTTCATTGTGCTTTCACCAGCAAATTCTTCGTGTCCGTTGGATTGTGGCGTTTACTCAGTAAAGGTATATGAATATAACTTAAACTGATTCCCTCCTTCCCATGTAACCCCTCCCCCCAAAAAAGAAAAAAAAAATAAAAGTCCCCGAGTAAACAACGATGACGTAGTCACAGCCAGGGCCCCTGGATCCATTCATTATTCACGATCAGCACCTTTATGAAATGTTTATGTGAGGCCGTGGGCTTCTCAGATTCGCTTTAGAATTTAGGGAAAATACAGCATTTCCAGATTGCTTATTTCGTTTTTAACGAGGAAAAAGGAGGTAAATTCTCTGAGGTTGGGTTTTTGTTGGGAATCCCTTTAGTAGCCCAACTGATGAGCACTGTAGCATTCAAAATTCATCACTCCATTGAATGACCAACTAGTTTTGAAGACTCAAAGCTTCCTGCGTTTATCTGTGCAAAACTAAAAATAAAGAAATAAAAGCGTGCCACAGATGCTTTCAGATTGTTTTTTGTAGCCTTTTCCAGGCCTCTGATCTTTGCGTAATCCAGGCACACCTTTCTCGACCTAGTAGCTGTCTATCAACTGTTGCATCTGCCCTCTTAAGAAACTGTGCTTTTTTTTTATTTCTTTTTCTTTTTTTTTTTAACTCTCAGTTTCTTTGGCCAGTTCTTCAACTGATAGAAAATTGTGAAGCATTTTGATTTCCTTGGCATTACTCAAATGTCATTTGTGTTTTGATCATTGACTGTAAATAAGGCATCTTCTAGACGCTACCTATAACATACAGGTCTGTAACAACTTGTTGACTTAATGAAACGGACAATTTAAGATCCACAGGTGTCTGCAGTCAGGGTCAGAGTGTCAAAGCTTTTAAGAGGTACACCCAGATGACGCTCAGTGTTAGGCAAGAAAGTTATATGTGGTTGAAGGATCATCGGAAGAGGCAAGGGCGATTACATTTGCAATGGCCTTGAAGAATGGACAGAATCTAGACAGGCAAGGAGGGTTCCTGATGGAGCAATTGGTGTGAGCCCAAGCCTGAATTAGTCACAGTGGCTTAAGCCCCTGGAGAGAGAGAAATCTAGAAAGATAGTCTGGGGCTTGTTTTCAAGAAAGAAGGGATGGATCCTATATGGTAGCAGTAGCTTCACTGTGGAAAATTCTCTGCCCTTGTTTTGTGCAATGGAGAGACTCAGAAGAAAGGGAGACCACTTAGGAGGCTCCCTAACTGGAGAGAGAGGGCTGAAGCCTTTAGTAATACAGCCTACAGAACTTAAGGTTTGAAGCAAAGGAAAGGGAACAAATCTAAGGAAGAAAAGGTCATGGAAAGAAATGTGTTTATCAAGTGTTGGGAAACATTTCCTGAGCCATTGATCCCTCAGCATGTTAGATAGCACACTTGTCAGGGAATACAAGCACCATTAGATCTTTCTCCTTTGCTCTTCAGTTTCCTTCTCTAAACAAGAACGAACAATCCTAGGATCTACCCAAACTTGGAAACCTTTTTCACACCAGCAGGTAGAATTTATTTACATTCTTTCTAACCCACTGAAGCAACCAGCTCAAACTGAGCAAGATCAGACAGTTCTTTCAACATGAACCTCTCTGGTGGCAAGAGCAGGAACACAAGGGATCTGTCACCAGAGCTGCGTGGGTGCAAGACCACGTTCTGCCCAGTCCTTGCAGCACAACCTGGGCGCAGGAGCACTGGCTGTGAAATTGGGTCTGGATGCTAGTTAATAATGTGGCCTTGGGCAGCATACTAAACCCAATTGAGGTTCAGTCTCCTCATCTTAAAATAGCTGTCATATTTGCCTGCTGAAACTGTTGAGAAGATTAAATTAGTTTAGCCAAAAATGTGCTGAGTATGATGGCTGGCCTTTAGTTTGCACTTAAAACATAAGATAGATTTTTCGTGGATGGAAGAGGGGAGGTGAGGAGTAAAGTGGTATAGGAAAAAGAGTATGAATGGACTGTCATCAGGAAATCTGTAACTGAAAAATAGCTTTGGTTTTATTAACCAGCTGAATGACCTTGAGTCAGTCTCTTACTCATTATAGACCTAGTTTCTTAGTAGATGTGAAGGCATCTGATAATCCCTAAACTCTTTTGTCCAGCTCTAACATATGATGGTAGAAAGGTGGTTCTTTAATTGTTTACAGTCTATTTAAAATCAGTTTATTCAAACTTCCTAAACAAGATTGACAGGTTAGATAGCGATTTGTAAGGGACAACAATCTGATTACAAAATGACACTACATATATGATACCCCTATTTTACCTTTTGATACAGGACTCACAACCTGAGGGAAAGATCCTTTTTTCCCCAACTTTTCTTAATTTATTTATTAGGGTTATTCAAAAAGTTTGTGGGCAAATGGGATTAATAGAAGTTTAGGGCAGGTTGGGACTCCCACATTCAAGTTCTAACTCTACTGCCCATTCCAGCTTCCTGCTAATACACACCCCAGGAGGCAGCAAGTGATGGCTCAAGTCCTGGGTTCCTGCCACCCAGTTGGGAGACCTGAGTTTAGTTCCCAGCTCACAGCTTTGGGGCCTGGCCTAGCCCCAGCCATTGTGGGCATCTGGGAAATGAACTAGCAGGTGGAAGCTCATTTTATTAATTTATTTCACAGGCAGAGTGACAGAGAGGGTGAGATAGAGAAAGAGATCTTCCATATGCTGGTTCATTCCCCCAGATGGCTACAACAGCTAGGGCTGACCCAGACTGAAGCCAGGAGCCTGAAACTCTGTCCGGGTCTTCCACATGAGTGGCAGGAGCTCAAGTACTTGAGCATCTTCTGCTGCTTTCTTAGGTGCATTAGCAGGGATGTGGATCAGAAGGACTCTCCAGTATGGGATGCCTGTGTCACGAGTGGCTGCTTGATCCACTACACCACAATGGTGGCCCCTCAGCATCGTGACTAAGATCAGTACTAAAACCAGATTGCCTGAATTCAACTATCAGCTCTGCTGTTTACTGGCCATGACCCGCTCCACAGGGATTAAGTATGGCCATACACATAATGTCCATAGTCCAGCATCTGCCAAGTCATTAGTGTTCCATAAATGGTAGCAGTTGTTAAAACAAGGAAGAACATAGCTCCCGTAAAACCCCAGCATACTGAACCTTTAAGCTATTTTCCCTGTTCCTTTTTTCCTTTGAGTCTTTTTGTGTATAGGTACAGTTGTGATTAGAGTATACCAAACGTTGTGTTCTATTTATTGTTATATTGTAAGCATCTTGTAGGCTGCTCCAAAAACTTGTTTAATACCTTCTGATTGATGGAGTTAGTATTCATAATTTTCTCTTTTTTTTTAAGATTTTATTTATTTATTTGAGAGGTAGAGTTATAGACAGAGGTAGAGACAGAGAAAGGTCTTCCTTCCATTGGTTCACTCCCCAGATGGCCACAACGACCAGAGCTGTGCCAGTCCTAAGCCAGGAGCCAGGTGCTTCTTCCTGGTCTCCCACATGGGTGCAGGAGCCCAAGCACTTGGGCCATCTTCTGCTTTCCCAGGCCATAGCAGAGAGCTGGACTGGAAGTGGAGCAGCCAGGACTAGAACCAGCACCCATATGGGATGCTGGCGCCACAGGTGGAGGATTAACCTAATGCGCCACAGTGCCAGCCCCAGTATTCATAATTTTCAAAGCCATTCATTCCTTTTTTTATTTTGCATTTAGACAGTTTCTAGTGTTTCATCTTGATAAGTAATACTACAATGTAATTGCAATGCTACAGTGGACATCATTTACACATACTCATTGATTTTATTATTTCATTAGGATAAATAGACAACAGGAGTATTTCTGAGTCAAGTGCTGTGAATATTTTGATGACTGTCGATATGAATTGCCAGATTGCTTTCCAAAAGGATATTACTATTTTACATTGCCACCAGCATTGTCTGAATACTGTCTTTACTTGGGCCTTTTAGTTTTTCCTTTTTATAAATATAAACAAAATATAATAGATATCTTTGTTCTCACTTGTGCTTTATTCCTTATTAGTAAGGTTGGATATTTTTTCTAATGTTTGTTTATTAAATATATCTCCTCTTGTGCAAACAGTACATACATATACTTTTCTCCTTTATCTCATGGTTACATGATAATTTACTTGATTTGTCTGCGCTCTTTGCTCCTTACATAATTAACGTTTCGATATATTTGATGCAAATGTTCCTCAATCTAATTTCACTTCTCTTAGATAGTTTATATTTGGTTGTGTGGAAAGTTTAGAGTTTTAATGCAATTCTGATTTCTTGATCACTTCTAAATATAAAAGTAATTGCCCCAGATATTTGTTAAGCCTTTCTTTCTCATATAAAATGAACTTAATTTGGAGACTTCCTTTTTAATTCTATATGTCCATAGTTCCCCTTTACATTAGTACTACATTTTTATTTTTGTTTTACCATAATTTTATTGCCTGGCAGTACTAGTAGAAACAGCCATCCTCTTTCTTTAACTGATCCTCTTCATTTGTATTTAATGGATATCTTTGAGACTAAATTACCTTAAAAACCATACTCCAGCACTTTCGCCACTTCTCTCCAGCCTTAGCTGTTTTCCCCTCTGCTAGAATTTCCTTGTCAGCATGCCAACATGCTGTTGTTGCTCCTATCTTTAAGAAAAGATAACCAAAAAGAAAACTTCTTTCAACCTACTGGTTTTCATCTTATCTTCCTTAGAAGAACAGTCTGTGTTCACTGTTTCTACTGTGTCTCCTTCCAGATGCTCTTGCACCACTCTCATTTAGGCTTTGCCTCCTTCCGCAAGACTGAAATTGTCCATCTTAGGTCAACGATGATCTCCACTTAACCAAACTGTCTGGTCCTCATCTGACTTGGCTGTTGATAGCAGTTACTCTGTCTCTGCTTGAAGTGCTTTCTTCACTTGGTTTCCCAGAAGCTTTGCTTTTCTTGTTTTCTTCGTGACTCACTAGCCACTCCCTTCTTAGTTTCCTTTGCCTGTTCCTCCATGCGTCCTGACTTCTAAAGGGGCTTAGTCCTTAGACATTCTCTCTCTTCACCATTTATGCTTCTGTGAGCTTTCCTATTACATTACAGCTCCAATCCAGAGCTGCCTGCTTCACTGCATTTGGAAATAGCTCAAAGTCGTAAGATTTCAACAACTGAGCTCCTGAGTTTCATTCCTGGTCTGGCTTTTCTGCCAGTCTTCCCTGGCTCTATTAATGACAGGTATATCCTTCCAGCAGCTCAGGCCAAAACCCTTGGGCTTATACCATCCTGAATTCCATTATTTCTCTCATTCCCTATGTTGGATCCTACAGTCATACTGATTCTACTTTCAAAACAGATCCAGGTTTTGTTTTGTTTTGTTTTGTTTTTTAAGATTTATTCGTTTATTTGAAAGTGTTGGAAAGGGAGAGAGAGAGAGAGAGAGAGAGAGAGGTCTTCCATCCACTGGTTCATTCCCTAGGTGACTGCAACATCCAGGGCTGGACCAACCTGAAGCCAGGAGCCAGGACTTCTTCCAGGTCTCCCACATGGGTAGCAGGGGCCCAAACGCTTGGGCCCTCTTCTGCTGCTTTTTCCAGGCCATCAGCAGGGAGCTGGATCAGAAGTGTAGGAGCTAGAACTCCAACCAGTGCCTATATGGAATGCTAACATTGCAGGTGGCAGCTTTACCGACTACATCATAATGCTAACCACTAGATCCGGGTTTTACCACCTTTACATACAATGTCTAGTCCAAGCCAACGTCATCTCTTAAATGTATTGTTAGATAGCACGGCATCCTGCTTCTACTCTCTCTGACAGTTTCCTCTTCAAAAGAAAAAAGACAAAAATATTTTTTATTTTTTTGAAAGGCAGAGCTACAGAGAAAGAGAACTAAATAGATTTTCCATACCATGATTCACTCCCCAGATGGCCACAATGATCAGGGCTGGTCCTGGCTGAAGCCATGATTGAGGAATTCCATCCAAGTCTCCCACATGGATGACAGGAGCCCAAGTGCTTGGGCCATCATCTGCTGCTTTCCCAGGGACATTAACAGGAAGCTGCATTAGAAGCAGAGTAGTCAGGACCCCCAGCATTCCGATGTAGGATGCTGGCACCTCAGGCAGTAGCTTAACCCACTGGTCCTCAACTCTGGCCCCACAACAGTTTATTCTTAACACAGCAACCAGTGTGATCCTGCCACCAAGTCAAATCATGTTGCATCATTCTGTCTTCAGAAGTGACTTCCTGCCTTACTCATTACAGACAAATCCTTACTGTGGTCTCACACAGGGCACAATCTGGACTCCTTCACCTCTCAGACCTCATCTCCACCTGCCCTGTGCCTCCCTGTCTCCACTCCAGCCTCGGTGGTCTCTGGTCTTCCCCCACATGCCTCTTGCCTGAGAGTCTGGGCACTTGTCCATCCCTGCCTCACTGCTCTCCCCACAGATACCACCAGACTCATTGCCTGCCGTCCCTCAAGATGTCACTTCTCAATAAGGCCTCCCCTCATCTCAACAACTCCTACCCTTCCCTGCTCTCTTCTCTGAAACATCTGCTACTTAGAAGCATGCTGTACATTTTATGGCTCTGTTTCTTGTCTGTGTGTTCCCAGAAAATAATCTCCATAAGGGCAGGTCTTTTCTCTGATTTGCTCATTGAACACAGAACAAGCTCAATGAATACTTGTTTTCTGCAGAATCAGATGAAAATAACGAAAATGAACTGTAAATTGCATAATTATTAACAGTAAATATTATACACCATGAATTCAGGGATTAGCTTATCTTTCCCTCCTCCAATGCTTACTGGGCAATTATTTTTGTCACAAAAGCTACAGTGAATGAATTATTTGTAAAGAGGGATTGGGAGGATCTCAGAGTTGAATGAAAAGCCTTTTTTCCCTAATGCACCTCTTTCCAGGCATTTATTCCAGATAGCAAAAGAGAAAAGATTCTGCATTTGTGCTGTTACTAAAAATGGTCTCTTCAAACCAGGGTAACTTTACTAAAATAGTTTTGGTGATGGAAAGGAAAGTACAGTTTTATACCTTAACAAATAAAGGAAAGAAAAATAGAATAATGCGACTGAAAATGAATGCCATTCTTATTTTTGTTTTTGGAATATGAGAGCAAGAGAAGGTGACGTGTGTGTGTGTGTGTGTGTGCGCTAAGACTGTAACAGGTAGTTTTTAAATCCTTGTGGAAGTTTAAGGGCAGTCACAGTATATAAGCAATAAATTGCTTAAAGTATTTTAATTGGTTGTAAAAAGGAAGTAAAAAGTCTATCAAAATAGCTGTCTTAATATAATTAAAGAATTGTCACATGGGGAGGGATTCTGAATTTTCTGTTATTGGGAAGTACAAGGCACAGTAAGTGGCCGTTATAGGGAAACTGGTTTATTCAGTATATAAAGGAAAATTTTATAGCATCTACATTTGGTCAGCACTGAAGCTCATGACTTCATGTGAGCAGTGCTCTCTCACTAGGAGTGCAAAGACAGAGGAGAGACTTAGTTGAAGACCTGATAGTGCACGTGTTTTCTGTGGGGAACCATTGATAAAGTAACTCTTTGTGAGAAGCTGCAAAGTGTATTGTTTTTAATAAAACTACTTAGATATTTTAAATAAATACATAACCTTATATTACATGAATATTAACAATGATTAATAGACAAAATTGTTTGACATTTGAAAATAACATGCATGTATAGAGCCCTGAATAAATTATAGGCCGAATACTCACTAAGCTGACACTTTTTCTTCATCACACTCAAATCACCAATGGTTAGGGCTTCTGAAATTTTAATACACTTTGACTAAAACTGTATAGAATAAACAAAGTGACTTTTCTGTGTTTGAGCTTGGAGAACCCCACAGGAACAACTACTAGTAGGCATTCTTGAGTGTTGACTTAAATAGAGTGCAAATATGGAAATAAAGGAAAGCAAAATTGGTGATATTTGCCTAATGGATGTCATTATTGCTATGACCCATTCTTTACTGCTTTGTGCCTGTGGTTTTTGTTTTTTGTTGAAACCAATCTCACTATTGCTGGATAAACTTCCAAGATATTCATTTGGTGTTTATTTGCCTTGTATTTTTGGTGATTAATTTTTTCCTAATAATCCTTAGTTCTTTTTCTGATTTCTGAAATATAGGGATTTTCAGTTTTCTTCTGAATTGAAATAATAGTGGTTTTATTGACATTAAGTTGATCATTAATGAGTAGTAGAAAGTAGCCTTTAAAGATATACCTCTGTGTCCATATAAAATGACCTTGACAGTATATAAATTTTAACCTGAATGTATTAAAATGTTAAATTGTTTGGGAAAAGTCATCTGAAAGTTTTGTGCAAACATAGTCTGAAAAGATATCTGTTCTTTGCCAAGTAAAACTGACATAAATTTAAATAGGAAAGAAATGTTTTTGTCCCCAAAGTTTATAGTTCTTCCCTATAATCAGATAATTATTAAGAATTTATGAATCCTATGTCTTAAATTCATTTAGGTAATAAATATGGTGTAAATGCTGCTCTGTTTCAATTGTTCTCCCATAACTTTAAAATAATGTTCTGCCTTCTGGTAAATCTATACCCAGTTATCTCAGATTTTTACTGGTGACAAAGTCTCACTGTGCTTTAATTGAAATAGCTCACCTAAAACTAAATTTAAAAAATAGGGTCAGGAACCATTTTATGGTAGCAATAAAAGGAGACCATGAGTACCCTAAATAACTGGGAAATACAAAGGAAAGTGCTGCTGCTCCAGGCCACTCTAAGTGGGTGATAAGGGCAGGAAGACACGTTCAGTTCTTTCTCTCTTCAAGGACTTCAGTTCTGCTCCCCCACTTCAAAGTATGTAATCACTGTCTCTTGTCTTCTTTTATGCTTCTCATCCTTTGCTCTAGTTTTTATCTTTTCCTTTCACTGTCAATAAAGGTGAAAAGTGAATGGTATGGTCTCTATCATTGCAGAGAGATAATAATTTTAAAAGATTAAAAATATAATCTATAGTTTCAAACTAACAGAAGAGAAAAAAGGAAGTTAAAGGGATTAGAAGGCCAAAATAAACATCAGATTTGGGAGACAGTGGGTAGAGTCATAGGGAAATAAAAAGCTGATAGAAACAGGTTCAAATATGTCAATAAAAACAATAAAAGTCAACAAATTACATTCTTTGATTAGAAATGGACTAAAACAAGGAGTAAAATACTGTGAAGAGAGTTATAAAACATGATTTAAAAAGTTTAAAAATTTGAGTTATAGTCTATGTTAACGGGTGAATATTAATTCATAATTATCAATCATTCTTTTTGCATAAAGGTTTGTTTGTTTGAAAGGCAGAGTTACAGAGAGAGAGATCCTCCATCTGCTGGTTCGCTCCCCAAATGGCCACATCAGCCATTTGTGGCTGGGCTTGGCCCAAGCCAGGATCCAGAAGCTTTCTAGGTCCTCCGCAAGGGACCTAGGCCATCCAAGGACCTGGGCCATCTTCCACTGCTTTCCCATGTGCATTAGCAGGGACCTGGAATAGAAGTGAAGCAGCCAGGACTCTAACCAGTACCCATATGGGATGTCAGTGCTGAAGGCAGCTATTTAACCCACTGTGCCACAGTGCTGGCCCCAGTTCTACCCCATTGAATCTATAACTTCAGTGGAGTTTCCAACAGGATTTTTAAATTTTTTTTAAGGGAAAGGTTTTATTGGGGGAAACCTGACAGACTGGAGGGAAGGGGTGAAGAGGAAAAAAGAGGTAGGAGATTATAAAAGAGAGATCTAGAGAGATCAAGAGACAGACAGAGAGAGAGATCAGGAAACCGGGAGAAAGAGCCGTGAGTTCAGAAACAGGTCCTTTTAAAACCTTGGGGGTGGGGGCAGGGAAGTAGGAGTAGTGAATCCCATTAGAATGGGGGTGGAGCTTGACACTGGTGAATGGGCCATCTGGCCACCTCCAACAGGATTTTTATTGTTGTTGTCTTCATGTAACTGATAGGCTAATTATCTGAAGTTTATAGGAAAGAACAGAAGCCTAAGAATCAATAAAACAACTGTGAAGAACAGGAATAAAGACCTGCCCTATTAGATATAAAGACTTATTATAATGTTGTTGTAATTAAGATAGTAGTATTGATACAGTGATGGACACTAGACTTAATGGAGCACAGTAAAGAATCCAGAAATTAACCCAGGTTAGTATGAAAATCTAAAAAGACTGACATAAATTCAAAGTCAATAGGCATGCGCGTTGGTGGTAGAGTGGTGAGCATAGCTGCCTTCCAAAGTCAATAGGAATGCATAGATAATCTAATCAGAGGTGTTATGACAGCTTGGTTAATCTCTAGGAGAAAAAAAAATTAAATCTACTTCACAGCAGAGTAGTTTATGAGTGGATTATCTGCCCAACTGTGAGAATTAAAACATATCAGTCTTTAGAAGAAAAGGTCAGGGTGGGGACAGGTATTGGGTCCTGGGAGCTGGTGCTGTGGCGTAGCTGTTTAAGCCACCATCTGCAACACCAGCACCCAAAAAGGATGCCCCTTCGGATCCTGGTTGCTCCACTTTCAATCCAGCTCCCTGCTAATGCACCTGGGAAAATAGCGAAAGATGGTCCAAGTGCTTGGGGCACCCATGTCGGAGACCCGGATGAAGTTTCTGGCTTCAGCCTGGCCATTGTGGCCATTTGGGGAGTGAACCAGCCAATGGAAGATCTTTCTGTCTCTCTCTCTGTCTCTCTCTTTCTCTGCAATTCTGACTTTCAAATAAATAAATCTTTTTAAAAAATGAAGAAAAGTTGGAGAAAATCATGATATGGTAGTGAAGGGTTTTTTAGACGCCAACCATACAGGTAATGCTTGTTAAATAAACATGTATCTGAGGCATATTTAACACCCAGCATTGTTCTGAACACCTTCAAGCTAGTTTATTTGTATCTCACTACAATCCCAATGATATTGCTATAACCTACATAAACCTAATGAGAAACTTTAGGTTTAGAGACATGAAATAGCTTGCCCAAGATGATCACAAAGCTACTATGTAGTTGAACCAGTAGAACCAAGTAACAGTCTAGTTCCAGGCATAGACCTTAATCAAAATGCTATATCATATCCTGGAGTTATAATAATTACCAGTGTTTTCTACATTTTATTGTTTTTTAATTTCCATTTTTTATTTGAGAGAGAGATCTTCTACCAGCTGATTCATTCCCCAAATGCCTGAAAGAGCCAAGGCTGAGCCAGGCCAATGTCAGGAACTCAACTCTGTTCTTCCACAGGGGTAGCAGGGACCCAAGTACTCAAGCCATCATCTGCTGCTCCCAAGATGCTCATTAACAAGAAGCTGGATCAGAAGCTGAGTAGCCAGGACAAGAACCAGGAACTTCAAAATGGGATGCAGACATTCCAAGCAGTGATTTAAGCTGGTGGACCAAACATCTGCCCCTATTTTTTGCATTTTAGATCATCTTTAGTGAGATAGAAATTCACAATAATTCCTGAGTTTTGTCAACTGTTTGCATCCCATCCAGTTCAAGTCTTGTCCCACTTTCAATCTCGCTCCTTGCTTATGTGCCTGGGAAAGCAACGGAGAATGGCCCAGGTGCTTGGGCCCCTGCCACCCATGTGGGATATTACAGTGGAGTTCCTGCCTCTAGGCTTCAGCCTGGCCCAGCCCCAGCAGTTGCTGGGGAGTGAATCAGCAGATGAAAGATATCTCTCTATATATCTCTCCCTCTCTCTCTGTAACTCTGCTTTTCAAATAAGTAAATATTAAAACGTTTTTTTAAAAATCAGTTTACATTCTTTCTTCTGAATCTGTGTGGGAAAAAAATATGGTTATTTTAAATGTCCCTTTCTGAATACAAAATTTTAAAAACTAGTTAGGAATTCATTATCTAAAAGAAAGATGGACAAATAAACATCTCATAGAAGAGGAAACCAATGACAACTAGACATATAAAAAGAACTCATTAGCTTGCAAGAAAATGTAAATTAAGACCACATTGAAATTCTATTTCACACCTACTAGACTGCAAAAAATTAAGAAGTCTGAAAATACCAAGTGTTGGCAAGCATGTGGAGCAACAGGATCCTTTTTGTCATGCCAATAGGAGAGTAAAATGCTGGAACTACTTTGGAAAGCAACTTGGCCCTAAGTTACAGTGTTAATCATTCACATAGCCTATAACCCAGCAATTCCACAACTAGCTATACTATAAAAGAAATTTGGCACATGCACCAAGAGACATTTGCAAGGATATTTATAGGAAAATTCTTAAGCCAATAATCTACAAAAAAAAGTAATTTACATGGACAGAAGAATGGGTAAAGAAATGTTGGCATATTTACATATTGGGATATTATATGACAGTAAAATCAAATTAATTACCTCTTTAAAGTATCAACATGGACAAATGTTAGGGAAAGTACAGTGTTTATTTAAAAAGCAAACTTGGTATGATTGCACGGTGAATGATACCATTATAAAGGACCCAGCATAGGCAAAAATAAGTAATAAATAGTTAATGATATAATGGCAAATTAATTTTCAAAAAAAAGAAGAGAATGATAAACAAATTTTGGGATAGGGGTTAGCTCTGAGAGGTTAGCCGAGGAAGGGGATCTGCACCAATGGTACTGGTGGTACAGATTTACAGGGTTCATTTACTGTGCTTCATAACTTAGCTGTGTGTGTCATATATTCTTTATATCAACTATTGCTTTAAACACATGCTTAAACCTTGCAATGAGTCATGACCAAGATATCTACAGTAACTAAAGGGACAAGCTACGACAAGCAGAGAACAGATACCAACAGAAAGGAGATGCTGATCCTGTCCCAGCCCATATGCTTCTTACTGGTGTAGGGGCCAGTTTTAGTGCTGAGCCAGGCCACAGATGGAGCCAGGGAAGGGGCTGCACCTGTCATGACGAGTATGTGAACAGAAGGCCAGAACCTCTGGGAAGTCGCCAGGCAGGCTGTCTCTTGTCCTTTCTTTTTCTCAAAGCTAGTAATAGTCCAAAAGAGAATGTCCAATTTCTTATTAAACAGAGGGTATGTGAGGTTCTGGTAGTATATAGGTAACTGCTTATTTTCAGATGACAGTTGTTTTCTTGATATTTGGGGGTATTACTATTAAAAGTACAGTTACTCAGCATCTAAAAACTATAAAGTACCGTGTCTCCACTGCCTCCTTCCAGATTCAGACTTAAGAGATAGTGTTGATATTAGAATGTTGGATAATATTCTTCAGTCAACAGCTTCTGCTTTGATATTCTGTCTCTGATAGTTTAGTCAAAAATATTACATTGCTTGAAACTCTGATGCCTACTGGGGTAAATGAATGAAACTTACCTGTTTCAGATCAATTCTCCAGGATTTAAAAGAGATAACAGTAGCCCCAGAATCTGGGATATGTTTGAACCTGTCGATGGGAGGTGGCGTATCATGTTAACATTTTATTGTATGTATCACTGATTTCCTGTGCACATTGAGCATTATTTCTGCAAGAGGATAAAATGGAAAATACCAAATGAAGAGTTTTGTTTCTCCATGTGGTCAGCAGTGCTGTGGAGGTGATCTGGCGAAGACATCTGTCATTCATTGATGGTCAGGATTTATTGGCTTTTGGGCTGTTCCCTGGCTCACTTGGTCAGTAAAGGACTTTCAGAGCCTCAAAGCACCTCAGGAATGTGATTGTGAGACATGAGCTAGTGGATTTGCAGGTCTGTCTGTGTAAAGATTTTTAGCTTGAGAATGCAAAATAAATGAATTTATTAAATTTAACATTAACATTATCCATACCCCCTATTCTCCAATAGTTATCCAGAGATACCAACAGTCAGACAACTTTAAGACCTTTCTTGGTGTGAAGAATGTTAGCATTTGCTCCCTCAAACCAGTCCTTGAACTTTCAATAGACAAGATTTTCAAACTGTAATTTCTAAGCTGTAATTTAAAATTACAACTTTGAGTAAGAAAAGCGGTTCTAAAGCTTTGCAAATTTTCAAAAGTGATGTGTCATTTAAGAAATAGGTTTGATAGGGGCCAGCGCTGTGGCGCAGTGGGTTAACGCCCTGGCCCGAAGCACCGGCATCCCACATGGGCGCCGGTTTGAGTCCTGGCTGCTCCACTTCCAATCCAACTCTCTGCTGTGGCCTAGGAAAGCAGTATAAGATGGCCCAAGTCCTTGGGCCTCTGCACCCACATGGGAGACCTAGAAGAAGCTCCTGGCTCCTGGCTTCGTATCAGCACAGATCCGGCCGTTGCAGCCATCTGGGAAGGAAACCATCGGATGGAAGACTCTCTCTCTGCCTCTCCTCTCTCTGTGTAACTCTTTCAAATAAATAAATAAATCTTTAAAAAAAAAAAAAAAGAAATAGGTTTGATAAAGTGATGATTTTAACCTCTTTAAAAATCTTAACATCGGGATGGACATTCGGTGCAGCAGTTATAATGCCACTTGGGATACCCATATCCCATACTGTAATGCCTGGATTCTAATCACAGTTCCTCTTCCAATCCATTTTGCTGCTAATATGCATCCTGGGAGGCACCAGGTCATGGGTCAATTACTTGGGTTCCTACCACTCAGGTGAGAGTACCATATTGTGTTCCAGGCTGCTGGACTCTAGCCTGGCCAACTCCTGGCTATTGTAGGCATTTGAGGAGTGAACCAGTGGGTAAAAGGTCTCTCTTTGTCTGTCTCTGTCTATCTGTCTCTCTTTGTGTGTCTGCCTTTGAAATAAGTACTTTTAAATCTTAAGATTATTCCCATTATTATCAAACACATGATAAATTAAGAGTGTCCATTTTCATATAGTTGCTCTGGGTTCTTCCTTTAGCATTAGAGTTCCCAAAGCATTACACCGTCTTTCAAAACTTTTAAAAACACTTTTCCCCAGACCTAATTCCTAAAGATTCTGATTTAATTTATCTGGGATTGGTCCTGGACTTTCTTATTTTTAAAAATTGCCCAGATGATTGGAATGTGCAACCCAGGTTCAAAAGCCATTATAATAAAAGTTTCAAAATGTAGTGTTTTGTTTTGTTTTGTTTTTTTTAAAAATAGTGTCAGGAAACTACCACAGAATTGAACGGTCTCATGCCATTGCCATTTTAAAACAAGGAAACAAAATTGTGAAACATCCTTAGTTTGGTTTTCAGTGATTTGATGGTATCAAAACAAGAAAATGTGAATATCTAAAAAATATCTGATGCTTAGCAATAAGGAGCATTAGTGGCCTGTAAAGAAGTAAAATCTTTCCAGACAGACTTAATTGGTCCTTTAGATTGAATTACAGAAGTATTAGAAGAAAGGAATGTAGTAGATGGAATGTCTGGATTTTATTACAACATTCTCTGCAGTACCTCATGAAATTCAAGTTGGAAATGCATTTCATAGTCCCGGCTAGCAGAGAACATACTCCATCAAACAGCAAAACATCACATTTGTGAGGTGGCTGCCTAGCAAATTTGCAGCACTACACATTTGTGCTGCCTTAAAAAGATCATTTGTGAAATTTGTTGATGTGGTGCTTTATGTCTATTTTTAGTTGAATTCATCAGAACCATTTCATGCCTCTAAAAGTACCCACAGTATTAAGCTATAAACTAGAGAGTGTTGTACATTTTGGTCAAATATATTTATTTATTTATTGATGGGGGGGGCAGTCATTTTACACAGCAGTTGAGATGCCACACTGGACACCCATCTGCCCTGCTGAAATGCCCGGGTTCAACTCCTGGTTCTACTTCCGAATCCCGCTTCCTGCAGATATACACTTGGGGAGCATTCAGTGATGACTCACATGGGAAGGCTCTTGGCTTTGGCCTGGCCCAGCCCTGGATGATGCAGATATTTGGGAAGTAAACCAGCAGATAGAAGATTTCTTTTTGTCTGTCTTTGTCAGCTCGCTCGGGTGCTCTCTCTCTCTCTCTCTCTCTCTCTCTCCCTTTGAAATAAACTGTCCATTTGCATTACCACAAAGCACTAATGAGTGTTTCAAGCTTGCAACATTTTTGGAAGAACACTAGTAGAGGGGCCAGTGTATGGCATATCTGGTAAAGCCAGTGCCTGCAGTGCTGGCATCCCATATGTGTGCCAGTTCAACTCCTGCTGCTCCACTTTCAATCCAGCTCTCTGCTATGGCCTGGGAAAGCAGTAGAAGATGGCCCAAGTCTGCCACCCGCATGGGAGACCCAGAAGAAGTTCCTGGCTCCTGGCTTCGGATTGGCGCAGCTCTGGCCATTGTGGCCAATTGGGGAGTAAACTAGCAGATGGAAGACCTCTCTCTGTCTCTCTGTCTCTCTCTGCCTCTCCTCTCTCTATGTAACTCTGACTTTGAAATAAAAAAAAAAAAAAGATAAAAAAGAACACTATTAGAATTACAAAGAAATGAAAAATGAGGAAAAAACAGACTTCTGGAACTTTGTACTATGTTTTAATATGCTATTATTATTATTATTCAAGAGGTAGAGAAACAGAGAAAACATCCATCCCATGGTACACTCCCAAAATGCCCACAACAGCCAGAGCAAGACCAGGCCAAAGCCAGGAGCTAGGAACTCAATCCAAGCCTGCCACATGGATGGCAAGGACTCAGCCACTTGAACCATCACCTGCTGCCTTGCCAGGGTATCCATTAGCGGGAAGCAAACCGGAAGCAGAGCTAGGTCTCAAACCAGTACTCCAATATGGGATGTGAACATCTTAATCAGCTGTGCAAAAACATCTGCCCCCTATTTCATTTTATATCTTCATATCCTGTAGACACCAACCCATGAACCTTAAGTGGGGTGACCTTTATCAGTTTGACCCTGAGTCTGATGGTAATAACCCTCACCTAACTTAGGTAAAACCCCCACTCTTCACTCTGACTCTCTGAGTGCATTCAAGGTACAGGATACCACAAATAGAATAGGAGTCCTCTAGCTGTTCTCGCCCAGATTGCTGCCACCTTCCTGCAGGTCTTATTACACCTACACAGCTCCTCCTCAGTCCTTCACCAGCAGTAGTGGTTCACCCCTGGCTTCCGTGCCATACGAGTCTGTGCTCACTGCCACCTGGAGCTGCTGCTGTCACTTGTGTAGTGTTGTGTAATGAACCACCCCAAAACTCAGTGGCTTAAGATAAAAACCTTTTTATTGTATTGCACGTTTTTGTTCTATGTGAAGAAGGAAATTACCTTTCTTTAATCTTTCTAATGTTATGATTATATTCCATTTTCTATTATTTGGATTTTTTTAAACTTATTTCATACTTTGGAAGAATTCTGATGCATTCTACTTTTGCCAGTGCCTGGTAGATCTAGTCTTGAATTTAGCAGCAGAACAACAGGATTTGAAGGTGTCATTTTGAATTATTTCTCTAACAGTTTGTTTTCCTGGCTTTTTTGTTTTTGGAGGTTTTTTGTTTGGTTGTTTTTTTGCTGTTTTACAAACTGCCTCAATTTTGAAGAAGGATGATTTGATTTAGTAGTCTTTATTTTGTTGGTGAGAAAGTAAAGCTGATTTTAAGAGGGAAAATGGGTAATTTGTTAGCCTCAGATAATCATGACTTCTACTGCCAAAAGTAGCTAACTTTTAGCTTATTAATGAGGTTGTTCTGGTCATTAAAGAATGATCTCTTAGAGAAGAAAATCTTAATAGATTTAAATATTTGGATGGAGGAGAGAGCATATTTATAGAAGAAGTGTTTTTGAGTACCAGAAAGGGACACACATAATGCATTATGTTCCCATCTATGTCTAGCAAACAGTACTTTGAAAGGACATTCTTTTGTGAATACTATTTCTGTATGGCTGATAGGTATGTGTATGTTTTCAAAAGAAAACTGTTGGAATTTTTCCAATGTCTCCTTTTTTTAAAGATTTATTTTATTCACTTGAAAAACAGTTACAGAGAGAGGTCTTCCATCCACTGATTCACTTCCCAAAACAGCCGGAGCTGATCCTATCCAAAGCCAGGAGCCAGGAGCTTCTTCCAGGGCTCCCATACCTGTACAGGGGCCCAAGGACTTGGGCCATCCTCTGCTGCTTTCCCAGGTGCACCAGCAGGGCACTGAAGTGGAAGTAGAGCAGCCAGGACTTGAACTGGTCCCACAATGTCTCTTATAGTCAAGAAAAGCTATATGGTATTTTAAAGTACAGTTTACTGTGTTGTTACGCAAATAATAATAATAATGGAAAAGTACATCTTTAGCCATAAACCAGGAAGGAAAACATTTTGAAAAAGAAATTCTTTTAGGGGCTAGAGCTGTGGCTTAGCTGGCAAAGGCACCATCTGTGGCGCTGGCATCCCACATGGGTACCAGTTCAAGTCCCAGCTGCTCCACTTCCAATTCAGCTCCATGCTAATGGCCTGGGAAAGCAGCAGATGATGGCCCAAGTGCTTGGGACTCTGCACCCACGTGCCAGAGCCAGAAGAGGTTCCTGGCTTCAGATTGACGCAGCTGCAGCCATTATTCTATTTGGAGAGTGAACCAGTGAATGGAAAATCAATCTCTCTCTTCCACCCTCCCTCCCTTCTTCCCTCCCTCTCTCCCTCCTTCCCTCCTTCTCTCTCTCTCTCTGGAACTCTGCCTTTCAAAGAAACAAATCTCTTATTAAAATATTATTATTTTAAAGATTTATTTATTTATTTGAAAAGTAGAGTTATAGAGAGGGAGAGACAGAGAGAAAGGTCTTCCATATGGCCACAACGGCCGGAGCTGGGCCTGTCTGAAGCCCAGAGCAAGGAGCTTCTTTCAGGTCTCCTACACAAGTGCAGGGACCTATGCACTTGGGCCATCTTCTACTGCTTTCCCAAGCCATAGCAGAGAGCTGGATCGGAAGAAGAGCAGCCGGGATACAAACTGGTGCCCATATAAGATGCTGCCACCTCAGGCAGAGGTTTAGCCCACTACACCTCAGCGCCAGCCCCCCACCCAAAAAAATCCTTTTAAAGAAGCAAAGAGAGAATTCCCATTTGCAGATTCACTCCTCAAATGCCTCCAGGCTGGGCTAGTGCCAAAAGCAGGAGCCAAGAACTCTGTCCAGATTTCCCACATAGGCAGCAGGGGCTCAGATAGTAGGACTATCTTGTGCTGCATTCTCTGGAGCATTAGCAGGGAGCTGGATCAGAAGAGGAGCAGCTGGGATTTGAACCAGTGCTCTGATATGGGATGCCAGGATCAGAAGCAGTGGCTTAACTTGCTTCACCATAATGCTGAACCCCATCCACTCCTTTTTTAAAAGGTGATAAAAGTCATAGAACCATAAGATTGAATATTTAGCACTTTGTCAGTTTCTTTTGTCACTTTTTCATTTTGTAGCCTCAACTTTAGACTATTTATATATTAGATTATGTGAATAAAAAACCCAAATCTGTCTTTCCATCTACAGTGAAGACATTTTTTCTCTTCTTTCTGTGAATGTTTATTGAATACCTACTGTGTACCAGAGTGTTATAAGCCTTAAGGATTTAGAGCTAAAGATAGCATAGTGTTTATCCTCCAGAATATTCAACACAAGACCCCAGATGGGAGAACCAGTGAACATAATGCTGGATGACAGTAATAATACTAGTAACACTTACAGAATGTCTGCCATGAGCTTGGCACTGTTATATGGTAATTCAGTTACTACTTACAACAAGGCAGTCACTATTGTATTTTATCAAAAAGCAGAGACACAGAAAGGCCAATGACTTACCCAGAGTCTTACTGGCATGTCAAGTATGCACAAGGTGCCGTGAGAATGCGGGGGAGGGCTTCCTCAACTACAGGAAGGAGGCAAGGACATCTTCAGATCTCTGCTGGAGAAAATGACCTTCCCACTGCATCTTTTTTTTTTAACTTTTATTTAATAAATATAAATTTCCAAAGTACAGTTTATGAATTACAATGGCTTTTCCCCCCCCATAAGTTCTTTTTTTATTTAATAAATGTGAATTTACAAAGTGCAACTTTTGTATTGTTGTGGCTCCCCCCCCAACCTCCCTCTCTCCCGCGGCCCTCCCCTTTCCCACTCCCTCTCCCATCCCGCCCTTCATCGAGTTTCATTTTCAATCACCTTCATATACATAAGACCAACTTAGTATACACGAAGCAAGGATTTCAACAGGCTTCACTCACACAACCGTACAAGGTATAGGGCATTGTTCGACTAGTAGTGTTGTTTTTAAGTTTCATAGTAAAACACGTTAAGGACAGAGATCCTATGTGGGGAGCCGGTACTCAGCGACTCCCGTTGTTGATTTAACAATTGGCACTCTTATTTATGACATCAGCAATCACCCGAGACTCTTGCTATGAGCTGTCTAGGCTATGGAAGCCCCTTGAGTTCACCAACTCTGAACTTGTTTAGTCACGGCTGTGTCACAGTGGAGGTTCCTTCCTCCCTTCAGAAAAAGGCGCCTCCCACTGCATCTTTGAAATTATCCTCCTTTTTCCAGTCAGAAGGAACAAAATATGCCAAAGTGTAGAAAAATAATACAACTCTCTTGAGAAACATCAAGGAATTCATTACCATTGGAACACAGAAATGCAAAAGATGAGCTTAGGGGCCGGCATTGTGGTGTAGTGGTTAAAGCCCACTGCCTACGATGCCGGCATCTCTTAAGGGCACCAATTTGAGTTCTGGCTGTTCCACTTCCAATCCATCTCCATGCTAATGGCCTGGGAAAGCAGCTCCTGGCTTCAGACCAGCTCAGCCCTGGCTGTTGCAACCATCTGGGGAGTGCACTAGTGGATAGAAGACCTCTTTTTCTCTCTATAACTCTAACTTTCAAATAAATAAATCTTTTTTTAAAGGTTTAATTATTTATATGAAAGTTACACAGAGAGAGGAGAGGAGAGGCAGAGAGAGAGAGAGAGAGATCAATCTTCCATCTGCTGGTTCACTCTCCAATTGACCGCAACAGCTGGAACTGTGCCAATCTGAAGCCAGGAGCCTCTCCCAGGTCTCCCATGTGGGTACAGGGGCCCAAGGACTTGGGCCATCTTTCACTGCTTTCCCAGGCCACAGCAGAGAGCTGGATCAGAAGTGGAGCAGCTGGGACTCGAACCAGTGCCCATATGGGATGCCGGCGCTCCAGGACAGGGCGTTAACCCGTTAAGATCTTAGAGAAGTTGGAAGGGTGAGATCAATTGGATTTTGTTTTTAAAGGCGTTGTGGTGCAATGAGTTAAGCCACCACCCCCAATGCTAGTATCCCATGTGGGCACTTATTCGAGTCCCAGCTACTCCACTTCCAATCTAGCTCCCTGCAAATATGCCTGGGAAGCAGTGGAAGGTGGCCCAAGTGCTTGGGCCCCTTCACCCATTTGGGAGACCTGGAGAAAGCTCCTGGCTCCTGGCTTTGACCTTACATAGCTCCAGCCATTGTGGCCATTTGGGGAGTGAACTAGCAAATGAAAGATACCTGTCTCTTTCCCTCTATAACACTGCCTTTCAAATAAATAACATAAATCTTTTTTTAAAAAAAAATGAATGAGCAGCCAGTGCTGTGGTGTAGTGAGTAAAGCCGCCGTCAGCAGTGCCTGTATCCCATATGGGTGCTGGTTCGAGTCCCGGCTGCTCCACTTCCTATCCAGCTTTCTGCTATGGCCTGGGAAAACAGTAGAAGATGTCCAAAGTCCTAGGATTCCTGCACCCATGTGGCAGACTTGGAAGAAGCTCAAGAAATGTTTTTAAAAATGAATGAAATCTAAACAAACAAACAAAAAAACTGTGAGATCTATGACTAGCAGAAAGGGTTGTCTGCTGACAGTGTATAGTATTTGTCGTGTATTAGATTTGTTTCTTTGGCTGTTTTATCTTTAACAAATTCCAAGAGAAAAACATGACCATTTGAAAACAAGTGAAACTTTGCATTTTAAATTGCTTAAAGCAGGCATTTGGCACTGTGGTTAAGACACTGCTTGGGATGCCCCCATCCCACATCAAAGTGCCTGAGTTTGAATCCCCTGGCTCCACTCTCATTCCAGCTCCCTGCTAATGTGCACCCTGGCTCAAGCAATTGGCTCCCTGCCCCCCATGTGGGAGACTCAGACTGAGTTCTTGGCTCCTGGGGTCATTCTGGCCCAGCACTGTTTGCGGGCATTTGGAGAGCAAACCAATAGAAGGAAGAGCTCTGTCTCTCTCTCTGAGTCTGTCTCTACTTTTCAAATAAAATGAAAATAAAGATTTTTTTGAAAAAACTTTTTATGGATATTATGGATACTTTATACAATATTATGTTTCTATTGGAAGATAAAACATTTTGTGTGAAACTGAGCTTTGATTTAGTCTCAGAGAGTGACTTGTAATTTTTTTTTTTTAAGATTTGTTTATTTATTTGAAAGGCAGAGTTACTGGGGGAGCAGGGAGAGAGAGCGAGAGATCTTCCATCTGCTGGTAGTGAGTGGTAATTTTAAATAGGGAAGTTAGGGAAGGTCTCTGTGAGAGGTTGACCTTTGAACAAAGACTTGAAGGAAGTAAAGACATTAGGAGAGAGCATCCAAGGAAGAAACCTGACCCAGCACAAGCCCTAAAGCAAGGATGCAGAGGTCACTGTGGCTGGAGCAGAACTGTAGTGAAGCCACAGGTGCAGGCCCTTGTCGAAAATGCTGAAGTGGACTCTGAGTAACATGGGGAACCATTGGAGGGTTTTGAAAAGAAGAGTGCCACTGTAAGATTCATGTTTTAAAAGTTCTCTCTCATAGAGAACAGAGTATATGAGGGCATAGATGGAAGTTGGGAGATGGGTTAAGAGGCTGTTTTGATAAACCAGTGAGTGGTGTCTTAGACCATGCTGGTATCAGTGGTCAGATTATAGATTTACTTTACAGATAGTTCCCAAAGAATTCTTTGATACATTGCTTGTGGATATTCAGGGTGAAAAAACTGGATGAGTTAGCGAGGTAAGGAGTTAGTGCATACCTAGAGAATTGTCAAGGTAAAGTATATGGGGAAATGCAAGAACCAAGGACAGCCAAGAGAATGTTGAATTAGCAAAGAAAAGCATAAGAATAATAGGATGACATAATTGATTGGATGTTAATATTGAGATGAGTTAATTATATCAGGACTTATTATAAAGCTATAGTATTAGGACACTGTGCTATTGCATCCAGGATGGGCAAATGAGTCCATAAAAGAGCAGAGTCTACAAAGAGATCTTTACATATGTGGTCACTTATTTTATGACAGTGGTATCATTTCAGAGCCCTGTGGGAAGATAATTATTTGCAGTCATGGTCCTGGATCAGTTGGATATCCACCTACCACAGACCATACTCAAAATAACCTATTCCAGTCTGATTTCAGATAAAAAGTGAAATAATACTCTTTCTACAGGGTAATACAGAAAGCTAGGCTTTAAGGAAAGAGCCTTCTTTTTCCTTAAGAATAATATTTATAGTGAGTTTAAAGGTTCCTTTCTCTTCTTTATATGTAGAGAAAATTTTTTTAATTTTTTGGAAAAGCAGTCTTAAACAGAACACAAAAAGCATTGATTATAAAGGAAAAGATTACTCATGATAAATTGGGATAGGCTAAAATTAAGCATTTCTCTTCATCAAAAGATATCACTGAGACTGAATAAAGAAGTTACAGAAAAAGAGGGAGAGACACTCAGAGATCTTCCATCCGCCGTTTCACACCCGAAATGGTCACAACAGCCGGAGCTGGGCAAATCTGAAGTCAGGAGCTAGGATCTTCTTCCAGGTCTTCTACATGGGTGCAGGGACCCAAGCACTGAGGCCATCCTCCACTGTTTTCCCAGACCATTAGCAGGGAGCTGGATCAGAAGTAGAGCAGCCGTAGACAACGGCTTAACCCACCACACCACAGCACCAGCCCTCTCATTTCTCTTTCTGAAGTGGTGCCAGCATTGTGTAATGTAAAATCACATTTCTGTCTTCTTTATATATCTCTAGGAAAGGAACTAACCCATCCTGGGTCTTTCTTTGTACTGTTACACCTTTAGAATTTAACTGAAACGAAGATTGCTCAAATTTAGCCTAAAATTTGAATAGCTGTACACTTAAAGAAAATAAAAATCTACACTTGAACATAGATTACTATTTTAAAAAGCATTCTCAACCCTAAACATCGAATATTAGGCACATACACACATAATCTCTTTCTTACAGGTTATAAGCTTCAGTCTTGCTGCTCAAATCCATGGTACAAGCAATTATGTCAGAAAAATACCACCAAGAAAACGTTTTGTATTTTAAAGCAAATCTCACTGGACAATAAGAACAAAGAGACTATTCAGTACGTAATTCATATTGTCTTGTAGCATTCTGAAATTTATTTTGACTTTCTTTTTTTCTTCATTTACTTGTATTTCCTAAAGCTTTCCCAATTGTGTTTCCTAAAGAGGTTTCCCAGAGTGTCCATCATTGACTGTCATAGGAGGAAGATTTTCATGAGAGGGCACTGGGTTCCAAGGTAACCAGCATGTGTTTAGCAGGGCCTGGAAGTGGTAAGGATGGAAAAGCATCTGTGTTTAGAATGCTCCAATAAGCAATCAGCCCTCTCCTGAGATGACCCTTCACTGTTGCTAAGCACTCATCTCTGTTTCTGGAGTGGGTGGCAACATTATGTAATCCTGAACCACATTTCTATCCTCTTTATATATCTTAGGGGAATGGATTAGGCTTTTTGGGCTTTTATTTTGTGCTATTAAATGCTTAGCATTGATTGAAAAGACATTGAGATTTTTCAAGTTTGACCTAAAAATTGAATGGTTTTAACATTTAAAGAAAAAAAAAAAAACACCTATTCTTGATCATGAAATTACTGTTCTGAGATTACCTGTCTCACCATCAAAAAATGTTAGGCATTCTCACACATAATCAGTGGGTTAGACAATATTTACATAATGAATATCAGATATAAGGAACTTCCATATCTTCATTTTATTTCCTTCAGTTGCAGATGTAGCTCATAACAGGCTGACTTCTTTCCTTCTTACGGATTTCCCTGATTGTCCTTCTTCAGAACAAAACCTCTGAAATTTTAAATATAAAGAACACTGTTGGTAGTCTGATGGATATAATGTAACTGTGAGGGGTGGGTCTGGCCTAGCAGTTAAATCATCAGTTGGGACCTTTGCTTCCCGCATCACAGTGCCTGGATTCAAGATTCTGTTTCCCATTCTAGCTTCCTGCTAATGGGCAACCCTGGAGGCACAGTGATGGCTCCTGTCATTGGTCACTGCCAGCCCTGTAGGAGACCCAGAAT